TCTTATGTATTGAATCATTTATAAATATATAATGTTATTCTTTGTCTTTTGTAACCGTTTTTATTTAAATTTTATTTTGTCTGATAATAATGTACCCACCTCAGTTCTATTTTGGTTACTGTTTACATGTAAGATATTTTTTTCTTGCTTTTAACTTGTTTGTATCCTTGTATCTAAAGAGAGTCACTTGTTAACAAAACGTATATAGATGTATCCTGTTTCTTATCCAATCTGCCAGTCTCTGATTTTTAACAGGAGAGTTTAATCCATTTACAATTAATGTAATTTCTGATAAGGGAGGAATTACTCTGCCATTTATTTCTTTTTTGCATATCTTAGACTTTTTTTTTTTTACCCAGGAAATTTTATTTTTATTTTTAAAAGGTATGCATTTTATTGTATTTTAGGTTTTGGGGTACATGTGAAGAACATGCAAGATTGTTGCATAGGTACACACATGGCACTGTGGTTTGCTGCCTTTCTCCCCATCACCTGTAACTGGCATTTCTCCCCATGCCATCCCTCCCCAATTCCCCACCCCTCACTGTCCCTCCCCTAGGTCCCCCCACACAAACCCCAGTGTGTGATGCTCCCCTCCCTGTGTCCATGTGTTCTCATTGTTCAACACCAGCCTATGAGTGAGAACATGTAGTGTTTGGTTTTCTGCTCTTGTGTCAGCTTGCTGAGAATGATGGTTTCCAGGTTCATCCATGTCCCTATAAAGGACACGAACTCATCTTTTTTTATGGCTGCATAGTATTACATGGTATATATGTGCCACATTTTCCCTGTCCAGTCTGTTGTCGATGGGCATTTGAGTTGGTTCCAGGTCTTTGCTATTGTAAACAGTGCTGCAATGAACATTTATGTGCACGTGTCCTTATAGTTATTCTTTAGTTATTGAACCTCTTTAAGACAGCTGAATTAGCATCTTTGACTAATAATTCAAATGCCTAGGCCTCTTCAGAGATGATTTCTGTTACTTTTTTTCACCTGTGAATGGGCCACACTTTCCCATTTGTTTGTATGACGTGTAATCTTCTTTGTTGAGAGCTGGACATTTTGCGTATTATGTTGTGGTAATGCTAGAGATCTAATTCTCCTATTCCTCAGATACTGCTGAGTCTTGCTTGTTGAGTGCCGGAGCCATTCATTTGTGACTTTTCCAAACTTTTTTTGAAAAGCGTGTGGTCATTGAAGTTTTTCTTCTGTTATCTCTACAGTCAACTAGTAGACTGACAACATTTCCTTAAATTTCTGGTCTCCAAAAGATGTGTGTGTGTGTGTGTGTGTGTGTGTGTGTTAGGGGTGTGTGTGTGTGTGTGTGTGTGTGCATAGAAATAATTACTGCCACTTTAAGTTCCCTGGAAGCTGCTTCATCACTTGGAGTTGAAACAGTGGCCAGCCTCTGTGCCAGCCCCTCAGTGACCAAAACAGTGGCTGGGCATCAACATACACAACCTGGGTTTTTGGAAGACAAGGCTGTCACTGCCTGCTCTGATATCAGCAAGTCACATCATAAACATGAGTTGCCATCCCCACAGCTTCCCGTCACAGGGAGAGAGGTGGAGAATGACAGCCACTATAAAAAAACGCCAAAAAATCACCAAAACCCTCCTTATCACTTTTCCCTAGTTGCTGAAAGCGTTTGAGTAGACGCCAGACTTCCAACATAGCTACTGTTCTGAATTGAATTGTCTCCCCAAAAGATATACTGAGGTCCTAACCCCGGGTATTGAGATGTAACCTTATATGAAAATAGGGCTTTTACAGAGATAATCAAGTTTAAATCAGGTCACTAGGCCCTCATCCAATATGACCAATGTTTTTACGAAATGGGGAAATTTTGGCACAGACTCAGGCAGGGCGAAGGCTCCAGTGTGGCTGGGGTGATGCACCCACAAGCCAAGGATACCCAGGACTGCCACAGACACCAGAGGGGCAAGGAGGGACCCTCCCCTAGAGCTGTCAGCGAGCACACCCAGGCCAGCACCTGCTCAGACGCCTCGCCTTCAGAGCCGTGCGGCAATAACGTCTAGTTGTTTCAGTACCCCGCTCATGGTGCTTCGTGAAAGCAGCGGCAGGGAGCTCATGCAGTAGCTTCAGACAGGTCCTGCCAGTTCAGTCATCCTACAGGCAGAGGTGGATTCCTGGAGCTTCCTGCTGTGCCATCATTTGCTAGTTTTAAAATTTTCTCTCTGCCACTGTAATGCAAGCTCTGTGAGGGCAGGGGTTTTCGTGTCTTCTTTTCTGTCCCTTGTATCTGGAGCAGAACCAGACACAAAGTAGAATATTCATGAATAATTATTGACGGAATTAAGAATAAATGAGCACAGACAAGACAACACGGTCCCATCCAGTGGAGGAGGGAGAAGTGAGTTAAATGTAATCATGGAAGTAACCTCTGGGCATAGCGTGTTATAATATGGCAGCCACATTGGGGAGCTCAGGGAGACTCTCAGAGGAGAGATGCCCAAGGCTCCTACGGGCTGAGCAGGAGGCTGCATGAGGGCAACAGTGACCATGTGCCTACTGGAGACGTGGGCATGGGCAACTGCAGAGAAGCGGCAGGCAGTGGGTGCTCAGGTCAGTATCAAGTATGAGGCAGAGGAGACCCTGGCGAGAGAGCCTCAGATCGAAGGGTGTAGAGTCAGGCCAGTTGCACGGGCAGACTTCGAAGACAGAAAGGTCATGGCTGGTGGCATGGAGGACAGAATTAAAGGGGCAGATGGTGAATGTGAGGCCAGCAAGCCGTCACTGCATGTATGTTGTGGGAAGGAGAGTTCACGCAAGGCAGGGCCTGGAGGACAGGCCACAGAACTGTGAGGAGATGCTTGGACTCTGGAATATAGGGAGCTGGTTCTCATCTGAATTGCAAACCCCAGAGAGGGCTTGCTTTGAAAGCAATGTTGTACACTTTTTGCAGCAAGCAGCCTGTAACAGGACCTAGCACTTGTGAGTATGCAGTCTGGAACCCGAGGCAGGGTTTCTCTTGCCTTGGGCGATGGGCCTCATTGCACAGGAGCACATGCTGGAATTTTCAGGTACCTGAGCTTGGAGACGCCGCCTCCTCCCTTGATACCTCCTGTGCTGAGTTGTTCCGACTCTGTCTCCTTGTTCCGGGTGGCGTGTGCAGTCCCACAGGGTGGAGGCTGGCTTTGCACCGACAGCATGGTGCTCAGCGCCCAGGGGACCACGGCCTCACAGTCACGTGTGTGTGTTAGCTCTGCTCTTGGATGACTGGAGTTTGTGGGAAGTTGCACGCCGCTCACTCCCACAAAGAATGAACCATAAGTCTGAAGGTGCCTCTGTGATGATCGGGTTTATCATCAGACAAAGCTGAGCTTGGAAAGTGCCTCAGGGACTGCATGGGAGCACCCCACTGCCAGGAGTTTCTGATTCTGCGTGAGATTGACAGATGCAGAATCGGATGCTTTTCCTAGCATGGTACTTACTCTCTTCCAGCGTATATTTGATACTACTGACAATGAAAAATTGAGCTTTTCAACATGCCCCTGTGACCCAGCAAATATGAAGGGCTCCTTCTCAGACCCTACAAGGCAACTCTGTGGAGTTGTGTACAGTGGAGGCACGTGGGTCCGCGGCTGGGCTGCAGCTTCCCAGTGTGGACTCCGTGGGGGCTGGGGAGACACTGCTCCACGTATCCTCCCAGTGGAGACTCCCCAGGGCAGCAGCAGCACCTCGGCTCTGTGTTCCATTGTGGCCAAGAGGCTGATACTCCACAGGGGCATGCAGAAACACAGGATGTGTCCAGCCCACCTACCTTCCATTGGTCAAAGGAAGCGACTGGCCAAGCCCAGAATCGGGGGGAGAGGAGGCTCCACCTGCCCCGTCCGGATGCTGCCGATGGCACACACACAAAAGCCTGCTGCAGTGACTAGGAGCTCAGAGTGGACGAGTCTTCCCAAGTGAGCCCTGAGGCATCTTCTTCGCGACTTCAGGGGACGAAGCACGCACCTTCTTGCCCCCTAATTCTCAGGGTCGAGTAATATTGCCATCGCTCACATCTCTGCACTGGGGCTGCTTTCTGTTTGTGTTTTTCTTGTGTCATGTTTTCCAGGTCAGCCACCCTTGGAGCTCGTCTCCTTTAGAGAGGCTGACACAGGTAACCGTCCGAGGCGGCGGGTCCAGGGGTCTGTCCTTCACACGCCGTGGGCTCCCTGAGGTGTCTGCGGGGACCACATAGCCCTCCATTCTCTGCAGCCTCCCGGAGGCAGGCTTCATGGCTCTGTCCTTCCCTGCTCCTTTGAACACAAAGTTCTTCCAGAAATTTCCCAGCCACTGTGTTTCATTGATTACAATAATGCAGAATGTATCAACGTCAGAAAGGTGCACCAGAGGCTGGCATGGCTGGCTAGAGAATGGTGCTTCCTGGCTGTAGAATCTGATCCATTTTATCATGCTGTGAATGTCAGCTGGCTCAGGGTGCCTGGCAGGGAGCAGCCGTGAGAAGTAGCTTAGCACAGGGCACCCAGCGTGCAGTTGGGGGTCAGAGACCTGTGTGTGAGTTCTGTCTGGGCTGCGTCCAGGGTCTGTGCTCCCATGCCTCTCTGCATCATGGTCTCGTCATCTGTCAACTGAAGGAGTAACAGCACACTTGAGGGATGTTTGATGATTCAGGAAGATGACGTGCGTGTAGTTAGCATGGCCCCTGCAGAAATCTGTGAGCTCTGCTTTGATGGCCGTGTTCTCAGGCCCTGTGTTAGACTCTCTGCGCCTTTACCCGGTTTAAGAGCCGCAACAGCTGGTGAGGCTCAGGACCAGGAGGACCAGTTGGTGGCAGCTGGCATCAGTGGCATACAGATGAGTTCAAACTCAAGTTTCCCTGGATTCCAAAGTTTGCTTTGGTCTGTCCACAAATCCTATGCTCCTTAGAGTTTGAATGCTCAGAAAGCGTTTGGATCTTCTAAAGTAGTCACAGGGTGGTGGCTACTCTGAGCTTCCATGGGATGTGACATCAGTGTCCTTTTCCTCCACAGATTCCCGTGCTCCTGAACCTGAGCCACGACCCTGAGGTCGGCCTGCCCGCATCGCCGCTCATGTATGCCCTGGCCTTTGGCGCCTGCCTGGGAGGTAAGGGGCTGCTGACCTCGTGCATGTCCACACTGTCGTCCAGCCCAAAGCAACTGTTAGGGCCTATCAAATCACAAGCAGATGAAGGAGAGTCCGGGTGATTTCCCCAGTGGACACACGTCTTCGGCTGTGACGGAGCAACTCCAGAGTGACTCCGTTCCTTGCCATTCTCTGCAGAACTGCCTCCAACTTCCCAGGCCTGTGGCTGGAGGATGCCTGGTTCTGATGCCTCACAGCTGATGTGCTCCCATCCTGCGCCGTGTGGGCCGTGCTTGGGATTAGAAACAGATTTTGAATCAGAAGCCACTCTCAGTTGCTGTTCTCTGTCTCTCTCCGTAAGCAGTGGAGGGACAAGTGGGTCAGCTAGAAGCGGAGACTCTAACCTAAGAGTGGGAGGAAAGATTAAAGGGTTTTTCTGGGCGGGGGGTGGGCATTGGACTTTGGAGACAGTGAAAAGTGGGTCAGAGAGCGCGCTGGGAGAGACTGGTGACCAGACTGCGGGTTGTGGATGCAGTCGCCTTGCAGAGAACTGTGGGGCCTGCAGGGAGCGGGTGGGGGGTGGGGTGGGGTCCTTCTCACATCTCAGAGCCTGATCACCTTTGGGAATGCAGGGAGATTGTGAAGAATCTTAGCTCAACACATCAGACACATTTTAAGTTTTTATTCTTATATCCAGGCATGCTTAGATAATTTAGCTTTCTTTGTTCTCTGATTGATTTCTGACTACTAAATCAATAACTCTCTGGTTAGTTTATCTCCTTGGCTGAAAAGGGGGATTAATGTCATAGTGAAGTTTCTGTAATGCAGCAGACAGATAACTCATCTGCCTCAGTGACTCAAGTTCTTCCAAGAGTGTAGAACTGTTAAAATCACCCGTCTAAGAACAGGTCCCAGGGAAGCAATGCAGAGCTACATTTAACACCAACAATAAGAAATGGGATCCGAGGATACCTGGAAATGCATCCCCTGTGAGGATTTTGCCCATTTGAACTTGCTGGGCATCTGCCATCACCTGACATTGTACCGGACAGTGAATTCACCTCCCTGCTGTCGAGTGGGGAAGACGGTCACCTCAGCTAAGGTTACGGCATAGAGAGACACATCCTGTAATGATGGAGTGCCCTGAGTGGAGACCTGAGACGTCCGAGGAGGTTCTGCAGAAAGGGAAGTTTGAAGCCAGGTCGTACAGAGTGAGAGGCATCTTGAGCTACTTTGGATTTCCCCAGAACATGTAGGATGAATATGGAGGAGCTTTCTCTAGGAGAGATGTTAATGTGTACCATTTATAGGTTAATTCCTAAAATAGGATTAGATACTTAGTAACTGAGCAGATTTTAGAAGCAGAAATGCAACGCATAATGAATGTTTTAATTATGTGTTGGGATCGTTTTAATCTCTTAGCTCTGGTGATTGAAAGGCACGGCAGCTTACTCCCTCAGGGACCTTTCTCATTGACTCAAGGTTTGGGATTTTACAGAAATTATGGTAAAATATATGTAAATAAAACTTACCGTCTTAACTGTGTGTAAGTGCACAGCTCAGTGGCATTAGGGACACTCACAGCCGATGGACGGGTATGCAGGCGTCACCGCCGTGCACCTGCAGAGCGCTGTTCACCATCCCAGCCTGAAGCTCTGTCCGCATGAGGCAAACACCAGCCTCCCACTCTTCCAGGGCGGCGTTCTGAAGAACACTTTAAATAGAGGGTTTCATCTGGTTTTAGAAATGTCATTTGCTCTATGAATTGGACGCGATTCACTGGATACTTTGAAACAATTGTTTTTTAACTGGTCTGACCCAGTACTTTTTGGTTGCTCTTTTCACGAAGAGCTAAGAACAGTTTAAACAAGTCTTCAGAACAACCTGGCTTCGCCTGAGTTCCCTGGAAAGCAGAGGTGGTGGCAAGTGCACGAGCCAAGGCACTCCTGGCAGGTGCAACGCCAGGGCCGAAAACCTGCGAGGAGGAAGTAAAGAGTGCGGAGGGCGAAGAAGGCTACCCTGCTGCAGCGGCCTAGGGGCTGAGGGCAGCCCAGGCGGCACGCGGCTGCGTCCGCACCGACCCAGGCGGCACGTGCACCCTAAGGCTGCTGGTTTCCTTAGGTTATATCCAGGTCTTGAAGGACTGGTGGCTCTTCAACTCGCCAAAAGGAATGCCCATGCATAGAGTTAATTTACATGTGTTCTGACAAGTGGGAACTCTCACAGCTCTGAGAGTGTGGACTGTTTAGTGGAATGTACACTGCAGGCACAGGGAGTTACCCTGGAGATTTGATTCTTTGTGTGCAACGTTCATCAAAAACAGAGCTGGGCATGGTTTTGAAAACTGCCCTTGTTCTGCCTCTGGGTCCATGCGCCGTCCTCCCATGCCGCATGGCCCGAGTGTGCCAGGACAGGCAGAGCTGTTCGTGTGCTTCTCTGTCACTAGGAACTGGGAGGGAGGCTTGAGCTGGGGAAGTGACACCTGGGGCCTTGTCCTCCCCACCATGTGGAGCCCATGCCACGTGGAATACCCAGAAAACCCTGCTAGCCTCTTAATAAGTGACTGCAGTATCACTGGCATCTGAATAGTAGGCTTACATTCTTACTCTTGTGCAAACCCCACAACCAACCCGGGAGAAGCTGGAGAAGGTGGCGACGGTCCTCATAAACAGAGGAAGCAGACTCCCTGCATCTCTGCCCCAGCCATGACAGGCAGGGATGGGCAGCTGGGTTTCTGGTCCCAGCTCATAGGGATGGGCAGACCAAAGCCATGTGGAGTCCAGGTGATGTGAGGGGAGGGAGGAGCTCCTGATCATGGTTTCCCTGGCCCTGAGACCAAACTCAGTATTCATGGGGATCGCACTCCCTCCTGCCATGGCCATGCCTGGATGCATGGTGAGGAGATGCCTGCAGCATCTGCCGCCCGAGTGTGGGCTGGCCCTGTGTGTTGTTGGCGGATGGCAGAGCACACGGGTGCAGGCAGCAGGTCCTGATGGTGCCACAGAGCCCTGCAGGCGGATCACGAGGTCAGGAGTTCAAGACCAGCCTGACCAAAATGTTGAAACCCCGACTCTATGAAAATACGAAAATTAGCTGGGCAAGGTGGCGTGTGCCTGCAGTCTCAGCTACTTGGGAGGCTGAGGCAGGAGAATGGCTTGAACCCGGGAGGTGGAGTTTGCTCCACATGGGACTGCCTGTCACCAGGAGGCAAATGCACCCTACGGCTGACACCATCTGGTTTGGCATCTTCCTTTCCCGACTATCACAAACACCTCAGTTAATATAACAGAAACGGTCAGTGATTCGCTCAGCTGACAGAGCTTAGAAGGCTTGAGACTTCAACTGAGGTCTTCCGAATTTAGATCTAGCATTTTGTCTGTCACACTGGCTGACATACTCTATTTCCAGTACATCTGTGTAGGACCTGCCAGGGCTGACCCGTAACCTCCTGGCCTCTCTCTGTGGCTTCCTCTCTGTGGCCTCCTCTCTGTGGCCTCCTCCCTGTGGCCCCCTCTCTGTGGTCTTCTCTCTGTGATCTCCTCTCTGTGGCCCCCTCTCTGTGGCCCCATCTTCAGGGCCACCTCTCTGTGGCCCCCTCTCTGTGGCCCGCTCTCTGTGGTCTCCTTTCTGTGGCCCCCTCTCTGTGACTTCCTCTCCATGGCCCCCTCTCCGTGGCCTCCTCTCTGTGGTCTCCTCTCCAGGGCCTCCTCTCTGTGGCCTCCTCTCTGCTTTGGTACCAGCCTTGCTTGTCTCATTTTGCTGACCAATAAGACAGGAGGGGCCTGTGTGGGAGCTTTGCCATAGCCTTTGCCTTTGTCATCAAAACATATTGGTGCCAGTTCTCCTCCCTGCCCTCCTGCCTTAGGTGTGGCTGGGAAGCCATCCTGTGAGGGGAGGGTGAGGCCGGGAACAGTGGAGACCTGCCTGACTACAGTCCAGCTAGGACCAGCTTCCCGCCCTCTGCCTCCAGGATTCTCTTTACCAGGGAGTGGTTGCCCTGTGTGTCTAAGTGCTGTTCATCAGGTTTCTGTTGCCCATAAAGCATCCTTTAAAGAAACAGGGCTCCGTGCGACTTAATGAGTGGATGTCCTGCCTGCCAGGCAGTGAGTCTGTGAGCAGGCCAAAGGACTTCTGCAAGGGGGTGGCCGAGAAGGAGGGCCCTCAGGGAGGGAGGCAGGCGCTTCAGAAACATCCAGGTACAGGAGGGCCTCTGGGGGAGAGCAGCCCCCGTGGTGCCACCCACGGACACTCCTGAGAAGGCGGGTGCATGTCTGATGTCTAAAGGCTGAGCAGTCGCCCCCAGGACAGAAGCCAGCCCTGCCTTCGTGTGACCCCAGCCGCATCTCCTCTTCCAAGGAAAGGGCTCCCCACATGCCCCTCATCCTTGCCTGACCTTCCTCAGGCAGTCCCCAGGTGGCACGCAGCCCCTCCGGCAGATTCTTCAGCATCCTTTCCTCCTCCCCATTCCTTTCCCTGCGTCCAGAAGCACTCAGGACCAAAACAGCTCACCTTGGCAACCTGCAGAAGGACACGGAAAGCTCCTTGTTTCCTGGGAAGTGGCCCCTCGCACGTCAGGAATCCACGCCCACGGCAGGCAGGATGAGATGCTCTCCACCTGGGCAGTACCCAGCTGCACAACTGTCATTCTGATTGGAAAGCGGGCATTTTCCAATCACAAATCCTTAACAGGAGAGAACATCAGTGCAGGCTTTTACTTTTAGCACTCACGCAAGTTGTGGAATGTGAACTTGGACCGTGGGTTGGGCCCTGCTCGTGGCGTCCTGGAGTGGTCAGTGTTTAGGGTGCAGGCTGATGCTGTCCAGGCACCCAGGTGCCTTCATGGGGGCCGAGCAGGCCAGGCCTGCTAAGGACCCTGGGCTTCTCTGTGGGAAGAGACTTGTCAGACAGTGAGAAATGATGGCCATGCATGATGGCTTGGCAAGGGGGTGGAGTCTCATTGGGCAGGTCTCCTGGCCGGGGAAGGAGCAGGTTTGGCAGGCAGGATGGCGGGATGGACGCTTTGGTGCAGCAGCGCCCAGAGGGGGCTGGCTGGGCCAGCTCTGCCCCAAAGAACCTCACCGCTGTGCTGGGCTCTTCAGACACTCTGCATGGCTGTCTACGGAAAGGCTTGGGGCAGCCTGAGCCCTACCCCTCGCTGATCTTCCTCTGGAGCCAGGATGGTTCGCGGTTGGGACACACCACTTCCCGGCTCACTGCCTGGCACACCTCTCACTGTGTCTGTGCTGTTTCTTCGTGGGGATGTGGGGCCTCCACCTGCTCTGTTATTCATGTTGTCCAGTCTCGGAAAGGTCGCTCCCCCTCACTGACATGCTGTCGGCAGCTCCAGGGCAGGGTCTCACTGTTCACCAATCCTCCATAGAAGGAGAGAGAGATGGAGACACAGGCAACTCTTCCTCAGCGTATGTGCAGACACGTCAGGGCTCAGCTGAACTGGCTGAGCGTGAGTCTTGCGCCTGTCCGTGAACACTGTGAGGGATGGAGGAGGCTCCTGGGCCCTCCCTGGGTGTGGGTGTGAGTGTGTGTGGGGTGGATCTGATGACCCGAGTGACTTCCTTGGCCCTATTCCTCACCAGCTGTGAGGATGGCACACAGGCGTGAAAGCGTGCATGTCCCTGTCACGGGCACCGTCGTAACAGCTTACCCAGAGAGCCATTTCATGTCAAGGAGATGCCACTGGCGAAGACGTCAAGGGAAGGGGTTTCACCTGGCTGTTTTTTTCTATCCATTTATCCACTGAAAGGGTTTCCTAGTGTCTGGGCCCAGGGTCCAGAGGAAGGTGGTTCCTGTCTGAGATTGCATTCCCGAGGGACACAGGTTCCCGCTTGGGTTGCTGGCCCTGCTTGCATCCTCCTCCGAAAGGCACGGTCCCACAGTGACTTTCCTGTTCTCCTTAGCGCTCCTCCTCTCTGTTACGTACGACAGCCATGGTTTCATCCAGAAGTGAATCGTGGTATTTGCAAACAGCTTATTTTCTGTGTATGTGTGTGTGTTTTCAGATATTTATAGAGCAGTCACTTTGACTGTAATCATCAAATCAAAGCCTGTGAGATGATATAAATTTTACAAACCAAAGAGAACGGAAGCTTACCAGCAATATCAACTGGGGTTTTGTTTTTAAATTTCGACTTTAGGTAACGGGACACTGATTGGCGCGTCGGCAAACGTCGTGTGCGCAGGCATTGCAGAGCAGCATGGATACGGGTTCTCCTTCATGGAATTTTTCAGGTACTTTTAAACTCACTTTACATTTCTGTTAAACTATCTAGTTCCTAAGCTCACTTAATAAATAGCGCATTAAACACTAAGATAAGCATATTTTTAGTAATTAGAGAGACTGGTGTAGTTGTGATTAGCTCAGAAAAAAACACATTAAAAATTTATTGCTAGTGGTTCACGCCATAATGCTAGCACATTGGGAGGCCAAGGTGGGTGCATTGAGTTCCGGAGTTCAAGACCAGCCTGAGTAACATGGTGAAACCCTGTCTCTACTAAAATACACACAAAATATTAGCTGGGCATGGTGGCATGTGCCTGTAGTCCCAGCTACTTGGGAGGCTGAGGCAGGAGAATTGTTTGAACCTGGGAGGCGGAAGTTGCAGTGAGCTGAGATCACACTGATGCACTCTAGCCTTGGTGAGAGAGTGAGACTCTGTCTCAAAAAAAAA